TCATCACAGTTTGTCTGCTTCATCTTCTCCAGTAAATTGGAACGTCACCCAAAGTCATTTCATTTTGGACATTTGTTTTCTTCTTGGATACTTGGATAAAGTGAAGACATTTCCAAACACCTATGGGGGTGACTAAAAGTATGTTTAGAACATGAGGCCAATAGATAGTCACTGCAGTGTTGTTTAATATTCACCATGAACCACACGAGCACAATTAAGTCAAAAATATTTATATTATTTTTTGCAAGATTTTGACACATGGCAAAATAATGCAGGGTCCTTCTTGTGACGGGGTAGATGAGACCCAGGTTGACCTTTCAATTTTGCTTGAACTGTTCATGATCAGCACACTTTATGTATGTCTTTAGATGGAGGCTTATAGGTTAGAGTATCATTTTCCTTTATATTCTGACTTATTGTCCATCAGAGTGTTCATTAAAAAGAAAAACAGGAAAACATGTTTTATTTAAAGAAAACTAAGAAGAAATGAAAAAAGCAAATATTCTCCTTGCTTGTTAAACATATTTTGGCCAGCTTGAAAAACCAAAGTACCATGTGCATCTTGAATGTTTGGGCGCCCCTTTGTGGACACAGTAAGTACTCCCCCACACACTTCCAGCATCTGTATTTCCTCTCCGGCAGGATTATTTGGGTTGTAAATTTGGTTGAGGACCGGTAAAAGTGATCTGTCATTTGTCCCAGCGCTCCTTAAAGTGTTTCACATATTGTAAATCTGTTTTCTAAAAGGTAAATTTGTTTAGTCCGTGGTAATATGTAACTTTGTTTCATAAATTGTAAAAATGTTTCCAAAATTTAATTTAAAAGTGTTTCAGACTTTGTAACTTTGGTTTCCACTTCCCAGCCAACGTAGGTTATAAGGTTTACCAGACCTTACACTCAAATCAAAATCTGACCACTTATTTAGAAAGCAATTTTTAAGCCATTTGCATATATAAATTATATTTATTTTCTTCTTTCTTTTTTTATCCATCAACTCACTCATTCACTCCATTTTTAATAGATCAATGCCTGTTTCATTTAGCTGATAGAGGGTTAACATTCCCAGTCTTTCCATTGTATGTATGTGTCTAAGTGTGTGTGTATGAATACGTGTATAGGTTACTGAATATGTGTTTATATTTAATTTTGTTATGAAATTGTGTAATTGGATTTGTTTAGTTGATTTATTTGTTCTCTTAAGAGGGGAGGTCCCTTGTATTGACCTCTCCTGACACATCTTTTATGTTTTTGTTAATCCTATTTTGATGTATTCTTATATGTGTAGGATAGGATAGGACAGTATAATACTTTATTGATCCCTAGAGGGGAAATTCGGGCATTACAGTAGCACAGACAAGAAAGCTCAAAAATACACATTAAACAGAATAAATAAGATAAATAAGATAAATAAAAACAGGGGGTATATACAATACAAAATGAATGATGAAGTTAACTGGGGGGAATTGAGAATTGAGACAGTATTTGCAGAGAATGACAAGATAAAGTGACAAGTGATTAAAGTGACTTGGTCTGATAAATAGCAACAAGTAATGTAAACAGCAGAGAACAGAGGCAGTGTTGTACCACAGTAATGCAGAGTGCAGAGTAGTATAATATAATATAATATAGTGCAATATGAACAATATAGTGTAATATAATTAAATGTTATATAATATAGACTAGTATAATAATATAATAAAAATATATAGAATGTACAGTATATATATATATATATATATATATATATATATATATATATATATATATATATGTGCTAATAAATAATAAAATAAAATAAAATTTGGAGAAATTGCACTTTGATTTAAGGCCCTAATCCACCGAAATATGAATCTTACACGTTTGAATCAAAAGACAGATTGATAAGAAGATGTGAGTTTGGGCAAAGCGACATACAGTAAAGCTATCCAAATGTATTCTGTTAATGACCTGTAGAAGGAAGCAGTACGCCGTGGCTGCGTCTAGCCTGCCGGAAATGAAGAGACGAAGAAGAAGAGGCTTGTCCCTTCACGGCCTCCGTTGCGGTATTCAGGGGACGTAGGCTGGCGGTGATGGTCGGCCATATTGTCTCTGATACAGCAGAAATCACACACCGGCGACGGAGGGAGGCGAGGATCGTTGTTTGACGAAAACTCCGCTTATCGGGAAGCATTTCTGTCGTCGTGTCGTTCAAGGGGGTAAATATTCACTCCTAAACATGATAAAGCTGACTCATATTATCAGTTAAAAACCTGTTTATTAATGGGCGCTAACGTTAGCATGCGAGCTACTGAAGGCCCGCATAATGCAGGAGGTGATCCGGTGTACTGTCGAGATCTGCTACCGTGCTGAAAAATGCAAGCGTGGCATAAAACAATAGCAGAGTCTATCAGTTTCAGCTTTAAATAACCTAATATTAATAAACTGCTCTGTCTTTATGTGTTGTTGTATACTAAATAGGGGGGCAGGTTTTGGTACTTATTGTATTTAGGATATCAGGGGAAGCGTTTCTAAATAGACAATTATCTCCTATCAAACAATGCAAACAAGTACAGAATCACTTTTAAATGCTCTGTAAGGAACGGGAAGCATGTTTTTATCCTCTGTGATAAAACCTTTATTTAAGGTTTGTAAGAGGGGGGGCATTTCTCGATGGCGACACACACTGCACAGAACCGCATGGTGGCTCATCTTAATGGGTAGCAGAATTCGACATAACACCTGTTGGTCAGGAGAAGAAACTAATGGATTTGTCAGGTTTTAACGTCCTTTTTGGGTTTCTCAGTGGAGGAAATGAGCCTTGAGATGAATATTACTTTACCCAGGTTGACATTAGGTGCTGAGGTATTCCCCCAGTCACCCATTGATGTAGTATTTTGGTGATAGTAAGAGGATGGGGAGTGTGGTCAGAAGCTTCTCATTCAGATGCTTTTAATGGCCAGAAAAGATTGTAAACATCTGGCATTGACAGTTTGTAGTTGTGTAGCTTTCTGTGTGTAAATCAAGAACATGTTTGGGTCTGAATTTGCACTTGAAACTGTAGGTGGAAATCAATTATATTAAGACAGGTGCATATAGGAGAGGAATGACTTTTTGCAGAAAAATTGCAGTCAAACTACTGCAAGCAGTCTGATTGATCAAAAATGAAAATTTTGTCGATCTACATTGGGTGCCTCATGCCTGGTTGTTTGATTTCTATCAAAGTTTTAAATTCTGCTATCATGAAACGTTGAAAATAACGCTTCTCAATTCATATGAAAACAGAAACATACCACAGTGGGCCGTTGACGCTACAGTCATTTCAAATGAAACCGCAAAGGCATTTGAATACTGGCTTTCATCAACATTACAAAGGCTGTAAAGAGAGCGGGTGGCCTCTCTATATGTAGATGATCGTAGCCACACTGAAGATTACTGTAAGCTAATGGTAGGTTGATTAATTTAATGACCCGTTAAGATGGGGCACTCAGGGTGGGGTGAATGAAGTGTATACGGATACCCCGAAATGAATCCTACCTACCGTCTGAAATGTGTCGATTCAAGTACATGATAGCCCAGCAGAATTTAAATACAGGCATGGGTATCATTTGGATTTCATTGATACAGGTATTGACGATAATAAATACACTCATTGATACATCAATCACAAACTACAAACTTTTAATCTTATTAACAATGTCAACACCTGTATAGTAGTATCAGCCCGCATTTAACGCCTACCTTTTAGCCTACATGACTCGTGTGTTTTAATGACTTTCTTCTTCTGTGTCATTGTTGTGAAAACATCTGATTTTCTACACAATCTAAATATTACCACTGTCAAGTTCAAAAGTTGTTGAACCCACTCTGACAGCCATCACGGGAGCAGAACGACTCAAGCTGTTCCGCACCTCCTCCTCACACATTCCTAAGTCAAACAAGCCCTCCGTATCTGTCACCTTACTGTGCTTTCATCACAGTTTATTTTCATTTTAAGACTCGCTTCATAGCCTGCCACGCTATCCCTCCCTAAAAGTTCCCTTTTGTATGATGACAGTCAAAAGACACAGATGTCCACCCTCTTCCCAAACACTGATATCTTCTGCTTTCATGATTTTAAAGGTGGTCATATGTCAGTAAAAGACAAGTCCAACCCCTAATTTTACGTTAAAATAAACTGTGCACCGTCTCACATTCATTTGAGGTGACTAATCTAATCAACAGTCGTAGTCTGTTTCCTCAGGGAAGTATTTAATCTGCTGGCTTTATTTGATTTGATATTTCTACACAATCTAAATATTACCACTGTCAAGTTCAAAAGTTGTTGAACCCACTCTGACAGCCATCACGGGAGCAGAACGACTCAAGCTGTTCCGCACCTCCTCCTCACACATTCCTAAGTCAAACAAGCCCTCCGTATCTGTCACCTTACTGTGCTTTCATCACAGTTTATTTTCATTTTAAGACTCGCTTCATAGCCTGCCACGCTATCCCTCCCTAAAAGTTCCCTTTTGTATGATGATGCAGTCAAAAGACACAGATGTCCACCCTCTTCCCAAACACTGATATCTTCTGCTTTCATGATTTTAAAGGTGGTCATATGTCAGTAAAAGACAAGTCCAACCCCTAATTTTACGTTAAAATAAACTGTGCACCGTCTCACATTCATTTGAGGTGACTAATCTAATCAACAGTCGTAGTCTGTTTCCTCTGGGAAGTATTTAATCTGCTGGCTTTATTTGATTTGATATTGATGTTTGAAGACAAAGGATTAGGAATTAAATTTCTCTTTGTTTCCCTTTCCCAATTTCTTAGCTATCCCACCGTGCCCGTGGTGGCCCCTTCCCCTCCCCGTCCTCAGGCAAAGCCTCCCCCCCCCTCCCTAAATCCCTTGCCCTGTCGCCCCCCCTTCCCCCACCTTCCCTCCTCTTCCTCCCTCCCTCCCACCCATCCTTCCTTCCTGTACTCTCAACGGTCATCTACTGCATTGACGTCTCCCCACCATCTCTGCCAAGCTGTCGGACATGTCAGGACCCGTGCCGAGCCGGGCCAGGGTGTACACCGAGGTCAACACTCACCGGCCGAGGGAGTACTGGGACTATGAGTCCCACGTGGTTGAGTGGGGGTAAATACCTTGTTTGCTCTTAACATTATGAAGCATGCTGCGAGAAACCTCCTCAACCCAGCCTAACACTCGATTCTGATTGTTTCCTCCCAGAAACCAGGACGACTTTCAGTTGGTGCGGAAGCTAGGACGCGGCAAGTACAGTGAAGTCTTTGAGGCCATCAACATCACAAATAATGAGAAGGTGGTGGTGAAGATACTCAAGGTAAGTCGTTAGCGAGACAGATCAAGAGCCTGGAGGAAGTCGCTGGCTCTGATTTGATTTAATGCTTTAATGTCATCTGACTAACTCTGCCCCGTCCTGTCACCTTCAGCCTGTGAAGAAAAAGAAGATCAAGCGCGAGATCAAGATTTTGGAAAACCTACGCGGAGGTCCCAACATTATCTCCCTCATCGATATCGTGAAAGACCCCGTTGTAAGTACAGTTTGTACCTGATTATTTCATCATGAGGTGACAATTTGATAGCATATAGCTTGTGTTAACATTTATTTATATAAAACATCGGGGTTCTGAAATATCATTACTGTACCAATAGTTTGGTGAGACCACCAGCTGTGCAAGCGTGTCCATTTCACTTGTACTTGGGAAGTATGTGTCTGTAAGTACTGAAGTTAGTTAGATGTCTCTCATCAGTTAGTCAGCCTCGTATTGCTGTGTTGTGTCAGGGCTCTCTCCAAATAATTAAACATCCATAATCTAATCATAAAGATACCGGACTGCCATCCTAATAAATAGAAATCATACTTTGAATAACCAAAAAATCTGGTAAATAAGACGCATTTTAAATACAGATTGTATCGTCTTTAAAGTCGTCTGCATCCTTAAATACACATACAACCAAAATACCAGTATAAATGCTGAAACATGCACGGTCATCATCACACTGTACGCCATCAGATGCTACTGAGTACTCGCTCCAGTTCATTGTGTATTGCAAGTGGCCGCTGCCCTGCTCTAAACATGCTGAGATACACAGCGATGCAGACCAGGCGTTCCCCTTTGTGAGGTCATAATCCTGCAGTTTAAAGAACCTTGTGGAGCGCTGGTTTGATTGAAAAGACTCTTCAGTTTAAGTAAAGAAGTGACCAGTGGAGGTTGGAAGCCCAACTCACAAGCTGTGAGTCCACACTTCACAACTATCATCTGACAGTTCGGCTAAGAGTTCAACTGGTGTACCAGGTTGAAAGTTCAACTACCATACTGTTAGATAGCAGGAGGTCAAACTCAACGTGGCAGATGGTACTAAAAGAGAGCAACACTGCTGCTCAGAAACTGCACGTTGTGGACTTGGAGACTGCCAAAAGACACTGCGACTTATCTACCGGTCGATTTATATTCTGGATTTTTCAGTAATACATCAACTAAAAGAAGATCCTTCTTACATGCAGAAGTCCATTAATACTACAAGTGAAGTTTTTTTTTTTTTTTATGAAATAGTTCAAATCTGGTCAAAAGAATGTGCCGCTCACAGCCTGTTCAAAACATGTTGACTGCAACCTTTAACTTTATTCATCAAAAAATTAAACTATAAGAATCTAAAATATTTCGCCATACATTTGTGTCATGGTGATGTAAGTGCAGTACGCCCCCATGTTAGGAGAGATAAACCAAACAGCAGGGTCAGTGTTAAAAGCTCATTAGTCCTTTACAATCACCAAGAACTGAGGAGACAAAGTATACCAAACGAGGAACTAGAGGTCTGTTCACACGTCACTGCTTTTCACAAATGGTGACGATAACAGATTACAGAGAGGAATCATCCTGTTCTTTGCATAAGAATGGCTTAGTTAATAGACGATACCACCAGAAAGTCTCCAAAAAGTATCAGTCCAGGCAGTCCAGAGCCCTCTGCAGAAGATATGTAAGGCTTCTGTTTTTGCTGGAGCACGGTGCATCAATTTACCACAGTGCAGATCGAGTGGGACAGGAAGTCACACACCAAAACAACATTAAAAAATCTGGTTATTTTCAGAATAAAACACTCATTTTTGACGGCTGGGAAAAATGAGCGCCTATGTGTTTGTAGATGGTGTGTTTTGAACGGTTTGAAACCACATCGTATAATCTTGCGCTATCGCACTTGATTTTATAATTACCGTGGGAACTCCTTGGTCTCAAGACTCCAGTTGTGCCACAGTGCTGATTCTTTCTGCACTTTGACAACGCAGCCTGTGAGTGTTGACAGAAAGTGAGCACGGAGCGGTCCCAGAGCAGCGCTGACACCAATCTGGTGGAAGTTCTGGGTTGTTTGGATGTTTCTGGGTTTCAGTGTGACACTTGATGTTTAAGCATATCAAGTATGCTGTTTGGATGCCACTCCTTGTTAGGCTTCTTTTATGCAATGTTTAATTTTGAAGAGGTGGAGTCCAACAGGTTATGTGATCATCAACCATTTCTTGACAAAGTGATTGTGTGAACGGACAGGCAAATCTAAGGAATCATTAGTTGTGACCCTAGATTTGCCTTCTTCCCTCACTTGAATGATCCCGTGGAGAGCCCTGTGTAGGAAGCACCCTTTGTAGGAGGCACCCTGCGTAGGAAGCACCCTTTGTAGGAGGCACCCTGTGTAGGAAGCAACCTGTGTAGGAAGCACCCTGTGTAGAAGGCACCCTGTGTAGGACACTCCCTGTGTAGGAAGCACCCTTTGTCTAACTAACAAATCTAAATAATTAGATTACCCAGTTTGATAGTAAAATTCTGATAGAATGAAGAAATCACAAGGCACCCATGATGTAAAAATACCACTTTTCTCACAATTTTTCCAGTGATTATTTAACTGTTTTTTGACGTGACGTTGACGTTATTATAACTTTTATTAGGTTGACCGTGAAATGTGGTGGACTAGTTGCAGCTTTAGTTTACACTGTGAGCAACAGACTCATAAACTCTTCCAGAAAACCCTCCAGCATGTTGTTACTCGCCTGGTGTAGCTGCATGTTTTGACAAACAAAGGCAGGTCTCAATCAGAGGTCCCTGTGCATTAAGTGTTGATAAGTTTAAAAGAAAAGAAAAAACATAGAGATAAACTCTAACATCTGTCCAAGAAAGACAGAATGATGCTTGTGTGTGTAGCAGCAGGTTAGCATACTGTCTTAAAAAGCAAAAGCAGATTCTTGATGTGAATTTAAAACTGTGCACAGTTGAATATTCTTTCAGGTTTAACTTGCCTAATTTGTTAAAATAGATAAATAAATAAAAGCCTGTCTCATATTGATGCCTGTCCCAAATAGAGGCGGGATCATTTCCTAGACATAACTAAATAAAAGCCCAATAAGTGAGAATGCATATTTTATAAAAATTGCGGTCTTTATGTTGTCTTGTAGTCTTTTGTCTGTTAGTTTAGTAATCCCCTCTGTAGTTGAAAAATAGCCCCATGCCATGAGGCAACAAAATACTATACTAGGCATATAGAAAAGCTGTTTTCATTACTTCAGTAAAAAAGCTGGTCAACCTGTTAACGAGACTAAAGGGGAGAAACGATAATGGATGAAAGCTGACGCCTCATTGTCTGCCTTGCTCATAAACAGGAAATAAATGAGTTGGTATAAAGGGACTGAATGTTGCTCACAGTGTGGCTCCCTGCTTAGTTTGTGACACTCTTGTTATATCAGATAGCTGAATGTAATTGGGACTATTGGCAGAACTGCATACTAAAAAACACTATCTCTAATGTTTTCAGTCCCGGACGCCCGCCTTGGTCTTTGAACATGTTAACAACACAGACTTCAAGGTAGGAACTTTGTCTTTGATGCATGAAACATTTTGTGGAATCGTAGAAACCTCCTTTCTTGGCATACTCGTTGTTTTCCCGTACACGTGTGTGTATGTGATGGAGGAATAAGAAAGTCCAGTGCTATGTCTTCGGTGCCAGATGGTCACCCATCTTCTGGTTCTATCCTCAATCGCTGGCACATCAGCACAGGGGGGTCTGAGTGATAACTTCCTGTTTTATTATTATTATTATTATTATTATTATTATTATTATTATTAATAAAACAGGGAAACATTACCATTATAAACTCCTCTGTCTTTGTTTTGCTCTCCAGCAACTGTACCAGACCCTGACAGATTATGACATCCGGTTCTACATGTACGAAATCCTCAAGGTGAGTTCTCCATGTTTCAGCCAACTCTCAGCACGTGATCTTTGACCTCTGAATGTCCTGCAGGCGGTGGACATTTTCACTTTTGGCACAAGTACAGCTCCAAAACTCTGTTTGTGCCATCAACACTGTGTGTTGTCCAGTATACAGAAGATCCTTGTTATCTGTTGATGTTTTAGACTTGCAGGGACAAAAATAAACCTGTTAAATAGATATAAAAATCCTTTCTCTTTCTGCAGGCCCTGGACTACTGCCACAGTATGGGAATCATGCACAGAGATGTGAAACCACATAATGTGATGATTGATCATGAACACCGTAAGGTGAGTTATAAACAGTCATTGCCCAGCATGAACAAAAAAACAAAGATTTTTGAACGATGAAATGTAAATGTAATCTGTTGTTTCATCTCAACAGCTGTTCTTTTTCCATATGTTATGCTTAGGTTTATTAAATCAATAATGCATGATGAATAAAGCTGCACTCACACTGCAAGCCTTCATGTTCAATTCAGATTTTTTCGCTCGTCTGATATTTTATGTGGCTCTTCACATTACCTTTTATCAGACTCCTGTGGGAATTGACACAATTGACAGTGACCCAAATTTGATGTGAAAAGATCAGATTCCATGTGACTTTTTACACTGTCATTCACTAAAAACAGATCTGAATCACATAAGAGCAAAAAAAAATCAGATCTGGGTCACTTTTGGCTGCAGTGGGAATGTGGCCTAATTGACTTGGGCAAATCTTTTGGGTGTTTTTTAGTACATAACAGCTTCATATCTTTATGTGCAGTTGCGTCTTATTGACTGGGGTCTGGCCGAGTTTTACCACCCGGGACAGGAGTACAACGTCAGAGTCGCCTCCCGCTACTTCAAAGGACCCGAGCTCCTGGTGGACTATCAGGTACATGTGGGCTAATTTAGCTTTGGTTGGAGGTGGCATGATTTAAAGTATCTGAAGAGATGTTACATGATTAAACATGTTGACCAGTAAATAGATAAAAAAAAGCACACACCGAAATATTTAAAGAAATGCTTCCGTGGGAATCTGGAGCTCCTGGTTTCCATCTTACCTGTGCTCCTTGTAAGGCTTGTGTTGTGTTTGTTTCAGATGTATGACTACAGTCTGGATATGTGGAGCTTGGGCTGTATGTTGGCCAGTATGATCTTCAGGAAGGAGCCCTTCTTCCATGGCCATGACAACTATGACCAGGTAAGCTTTCTCATGACTCAAGAGATTCATGTTTTTCTTTTCTTTTTAAACATCAGCATCTTTCTGGTCAAAGAAGTCGACCCAATATGTCTGTCGCTCAGAGCTGACATGCTGTTTGTTCTCCTGCAGTTGGTGAGAATAGCAAAAGTTCTGGGGACTGAAGACCTTTACGACTACATTGACAAGTACAACATTGAGCTGGAACCTCGCTTCAATGACATTCTCGGAAGGTGAGGACTTACTACAGTCTCATGATGATGTCATGAAGGCTGCGTGATAAATTGCATTTTAATCTCTGTCGCAAATGTGCCATAAACACATTCTGAAGAACCAGCATGATGCAAATAGAAAGAGATTTTTGTGCAAGGGCTTTGCATCTGCAGTGATCTACTTAAGTGGTCAAATGCTCTGTATACACATGCCATCGTTTTCACTGTTGGCTAATCAGAAGCCCCTGCTATCTGCAAGAACCTTAAAATGCAAAGCTCTTAGTTGGTCTTTTGATCTCCGTTTTTTAAATTTTTTACTTTTGCCTCCAGGCATTCTCGTAAGCGGTGGGAGCGGTTCGTCCACAGTGAGAACCAGCACCTGGTCAGCCCAGAGGCTCTGGATTTCCTGGACAAGTTGCTGCGTTACGACCACCAGGCTCGGCTGACCGCACGCGAGGCCATGGATCACCCGTACTTCTGTAAGCGCTCATGAAACGTGTGCCTGTGTACAAGAAACTAAACCCATCGTCCACGTGAACATGAAGTGATTTCCTTTTTGCTTTTTCTTCGTTTCTTCAACCAGTCCCCATCGTGAAAGATCAGTCTCGTGTGGCCGGATCAGCCAACCTGCCCAGCGGGAACCCAGCTGTTAGCTCAGCTAGCATGATCACTGGTGAGAACATGCACGCCATGAAGTGATCAAACTGTCCTGCAGCCTTGATAAGAAATGTATGGAAATGTCTCTTCTTTTTTTTTTAATGTATTTCTGTTGATGAAAACTCAAGTCCAGTTATCTTTTATAAGCAATCTTTCTCATGCTGATATTTTATTTGACCTACTTGTTGAGATCTCTGAGCAGACTTTGACAACAGCATAAACAGGTTTTTCAAGTCTACAGAGTTTCATAACATTATTCAAGCCAGTGATTTGGAAGGGAGAGACTTGTTTACTACTCCCTCTTTGGAAATGTCGTCAGGTGTCATCAGTTTTCTAACCCCCTCTTTCCTCTCCTCCCCCCCCCTCCTCAGGTATCTCTGCCTTGCCAGCCTCCACTGCCCTGGGTCCCCTCACTGGCTCGCCAGTCCTGTCTGCTGCCACCAACGCCCTGAGCACCCCGGTGCCCGCTGCCGTTGGTGCCCCACAGTGACACTCCACCTAAATCCACTCCCACTCTCCCCTTAAACACCACAACCATCACCCAGTCTGGGGAAGGGGGGAGAAACTAGACGATGTGCCACTCTGCCAGCCCTCAAAACATCAATCCTAACCCCCCCCCCCCCGGTGTGACCGCGCCCCAAACAAACTCCTGGCTGGAGGACGCTCTCGTCTAAGAAAAAGAAAAGACGTTTTCCCCCTTTTCCTCCTCCAATGAACACGTTAACCTGACATCTGAAATGAATGTTCTGTGTAATTGAAATATACAGGTATTCCTTTCATTCCCCTCCCTCCCCCCCCCCCCCCCGCACACGAGTGAATACAAAGGAGTGTGTGTTTCTGTGAGTGTGTGTGGTGATGAGTCTGAGAGGGGTGTATCATCCACGGCTGATTCGGGGTCTCAACAGCATGTTTTTAAGTTTGGCTCGTGAAGGCAGTCGTCGAAGAGTACATCAGCAGACGGCAAAAAAGAAAAGTGTTGGCCATCAGGACCAAAAGGAAGCACATCCTGTATAGTTTACTGCTGCAACACAAACCCTGACGAGAACACATAATATACCTACATGAGTGTAAACACCCTTCAGATCACAGCATTTGGGAAGTGTTTGGTGCTGTTCCTGATGCTCCAGGTGTAACACAATGACACTTCAACACGGTCTCTGCCTGACTCGTTCTGTCTTGCCTTTTCTTACCAAACCAGATAACCAGTCTCCTTTTTGATATGCGACTCCCCCCCCCCCCTGCCACGGTATCCCTTATTAGTTTTATATTTAAATGTATTGGATTGCTGGACGAGTGGTTTCAAAACCCACTCTCGTGTTGTACAATGGACGCTTAAGGAAGCCAGGTAAGGTTCATTCAGGTTTCTCAAAGAAATGGTTCCTCAAAACGTGCTGCTTTCCACTTCCTTGAATTACTTCAAGTGGCTTTTCTTGAATTATTTCAAGACATAACCAAAGTTTACTCCGTTGGTTTGAAGAAGAGACTGACCAAACCTAGTTTTTGTTATGTTGGGAGTTACTCATGGGAGACGCTGTGGCGCAATGTGGGACGACAACATGACGCAAAAAATAACCCGCAGGTGACTGAAGTGCTGTTTAAGTGTTGGAGGAAAGTTCAGTTCTGTAAAGTGTAGTGACATGGGTAAAGCTCTAGTTGACTTTCACCAACATGTTGAGGGAAGTACTGGAAGTTGAATAGCACTTGAAGAGTAGAGTCCCCCCTCCCCCCCATCCCAAACCCCTCCAGTGTTTTAGTGCCAGAGTTTGAAAGTGTAAGTTTTAGACCCTGCTGTAAATATGCATCTCTTTCTTTCTTTTCTTTTTTTTTTTTTTTTCATCTGACAACCTGCAAATGCAAATAAATCTGAACATGTATACAATGACCTGAGAATGGAGCAGTTTGAGTCCCTACATCACTGTATATATTTTTATGTCCTTATGTAGAAGACTAGTATTTGAAAATATTTGTGTAAATAAACAGGTGTTTTATTTATCGGGTACATCCGACTGATTCATGTCCATCATGTTCTTGAAGGTATAATAGAATGGACTAAAGATGTTATTTATTTTATACTAAGCTTATATCATCTCAAATATGTCTCAACAGTTCTCAAGGCCAAGATAAATCTGTACTTTCATAGTTGGGACGGGAGCCACGACATGACTAGACATGCTAATAGTTGCCATGGAAACCGAACGCCGGATGTTACGTAAAAGACGGCTACAGAATGAAGCGACCCTTACTGTCTAAGATTACCTCAAGTTTCTACATGTTTGTTAGGAGAGGAGAATTCACTTGTATTCAACTGGTTGCAATCTGCAACCTCACCACTAGATGGAGCTAAATCCAACACATTGACTCTTTAAGAGACAGCTCATTGACACAGTCACAGTTCAGTGTGCCTGTTTCTTTCTGATTTAATATCAGTTTGTTTCACATTGGGAGTTAGCACCACTGAAATACAAAATCATTTGTGTCCCGCATCATCTTTTTTTTAAAAAACCTTTAAATATTTTAAGTACACAGTCCTCAATTTAATTAAGTTAAATTTGAAAGTTAACAGTTTCATATTTAGTCTGTAGTGTTCATACATTATGGATTTGCTTAAATACATGTTATATATTTCCAAAAATTCACATTAACATATATATAGTAATATTCTGGCCGAGAACTGACCATCTTTAAACGATAGCGATGGCTCAGAATGTGCAAATTACACAATGACAGTAGGAAACCTAAGGTGGACGAATCTGACAGTACTCAATCTTGTTGCACTGCTTAGCGTTCCTGTGAAAACTTACATTGGTCACTTAAAGTAGCCGTTGGTGTCAGGTTATTTTTAACACAATGACGATGAATGCTGGTTAGAGGCCGGGCCCCCAGTGAGTTTTGCTTGAAGCCCTAATCAGTGGGTGAATGTGTAAGTGTTTACCAAAGATGTCAAAAGCTTTTCGATGACTGATAAGGTTGAGAGTGTCAGTTCTGCAGCTGGTTTGTCATAAATAAAATATCAACACATGATTTAACAGAAATCACTTTATTACAAGGTTACTCAAAAATACATCACATTGATCCAGTGTGACTACAACCAGCTTTCAGGCGTAAACTTTAACTTCAGATTGCAGTGAGCGACTCTTCTCTTGAAGTCAATCCCTCTATGTGGGATGAGACTTTCTAATTGATTATTATTATCAGTACTGTGATATTAAATGAATCAACCCGAGGAGCTGACTTGAAACTGTACTCTCTGATACTTGGCTGTTCTGTTTCTTATAACGCAGCATTCATCATTGTGGTTAAACCTGAAAGAAGGAGGACAAAAACAGAACAGATCAACATTTTTCACCTGATGTGTTATCAGGTGTATTTTATCTGACACATACAGATCGTACCCGTTTGAACGCAGCTCCTCGTCGATCTCCTCCAGAGTCTTGCCTTTGGTCTCGGGTAGCATGAAGTGGAAGAAGACTGCGGCTGCGACAGCGATTACGCCGTACAGGAAAAACATCCCCGAAAGACCGATCCAATCTGGTGAGGTAGAAGAGAACAGGTAGTCCAGGGTATGCTAATCATCTAAATCAGGTAAAGAACTCGTGGTAATTAGTGTATGCTTTTAATTACATAGACATCACCTTTAAAAAATGATGAAAGGAAATATTAAAGGAGCAATATGTAACTCTGACGCCTAGTGTTTAAAATGGGTACTGCAGTCCAAATTCAAAACATTGGCGAGAGCTGTCTCCCCTCGCCCCCTCCTCTCTAGAGTGGATGCTCACTCAGGTCACCATGTGGTGGACTCTGAAGCTTCAGTGTTTATCCAGCTCTGCATGGGTCTGTAAACCTTTCTGTGTTCTAACCTCTCTCCATTTTTCAAAAAGCATCTCCAATATTGATCCTAGTTTGAGCACGTTTCTGCTCGTGGAGCTTATTAGAAACATGCAGAGGCTTTTTAGGTCGGGTACAATCACTTCTATCTGAACCAGTTCTCTTGCCCGCTTCCATCTCTGCAACACCTGTTGGTTTGATGTTTGACTGGTAAACCGACAGGTGTTGCAAAACGGCCGTGTGGGGGCGCCTTAAAACCGCCTGCCTTCTCTCATCCAAACAAATCCAGAGCATTCAGGACCAGAATCTGAAGTTAGAAGGAGGACATACTGGCTGTTGCATTGCTGTCAGAGAAGCCAGAACTTCAACATAGCATGTTTCTTTAATGTCTGATCATATAGTAAGCTCACTTTATGATTTATTTGGTAGATATCTTACATATTGGATCTTTAATACCCACAGAATAGTCTTACATGAGTTTTTATCTTCAATGTTAAAATTAAAATGACTGTATCCCTGATTGTAACCCACATGCTACATATACATATTTATTTCCTTCCATCATTTGTAGTTAGATGACTTAAATATACATGTGTAATATGCTCTCATACTGTGGACGAACTATCCCCAAACTCTCACTGGCTCTCATCCTCACGGAGTGATTCAGCTCATTCCTGTGGTTTCAGGTCTAGCAGCTTTATGGTTTTGATCCAACAGGTTTCAGAAGCATGCAGCTGTTTACAGTTTAATAGTTATGGGTAATGCCATGCACACTCAGGGAGCGAGTGAGAGCTTGAGAGCAAATTGGTGCCTTTAGCAGATAAAGTGATAAAGATCCAAACACTTTGAGTCATAGAGAGAAGAAGTGGAGAGAATCAAAACTCCTCGAGATGTGCTGTTCCTTTAGCAGGATGTGTAATAGGGCACTGTGCTCTGTCATGTAATACTTAAACATGTTTTATGTTGGTGTTACACGGATCATTTCGATCTTGAATTTTTAAGTTAGAAATGCCCAAAATACACACAAACAGGACCTGTGGACATGCATTAGTGGAGAGATGTCAGAGTGAGGCGACCCTCCAGGTTTCCATCCCAAGTCCCGACAGATTGAGCTACTACCGCCCAAAATATTTGTCCTGCTTTTTTGTGCTTTTATATCAGAATCGTTTTCTAAAAGTAAATTTACACAAACAGACAATTTGACTTGGTGTTTTGGTGCAAAGAAATAAAAGAGTAAGAAGCTATGAAACAGCAGAGCTCCTGCTGACAGGGAACTTAAATAGAATAAGATAAAAATATAAAATACAATACACAATGTATGTAAGGTACACAAAATGTTCAAAAGGTGCAATGGAGGAGCTGTACAGTCGTGCAGGTAAACAACATGGTAAACAGTTTGAGTTGTTAATTAGTTTAATTGGTTATCTTGGCTGTACTAAATGCAGCTTTTTCTGATCCTATAGTCTGGGTATTATTTTTGCTGACTCAATGGATTCCTCAACAATCCTGACGGAGCTAAATCCTGATTCATGTTGAAATAAAACTGAACTTTTCTAACCGTGAACAAATACTCGAAATGTCTGATTAGAAAATAATAATGTGCGAGAACTCACCGATAAAATTCAAGAAAGTGAACGTGACCAGCAGGTTGGCAGCCCAGTTGAAGCAGTTTGTGAACGCGAAGGCCCTCCCTCTGACAGCAGCTGGAAATATTTCACTCAGGAGAAGCCACGTCACTGTCGAAGACAAAGGACGCCTTGTTGTTTCACTGAAATCACCCACAAGACAAGGCAACTTTCTCTGTTGTAGAATAGAACTGGACTGATATGGGATCTTTGACACTAAGACTGATGCTGATTTACGGGGGTGGGGGGGAATCCCATTTGCTTCCCTTCTTGGATTGTGCACAGATTTGCACCAATATATCACCTCCAGGAAACTCAGAATGCTTCTTTCTTTAAAACCTGAACACTCTTTGTGATACACTGTAAACATATTTTTGCACAGAACAAAGTCTGCTTGTCTCTGATGCTCTGCTACTCGTCTGCAGAGTGACGTCTGAAGTGTTGAGAGGGATGTAAACGACTCACTATGGAGTGCAGTCTGATGAGAAAACTATCTGATTCTGATGACACTGCCTCAAAATCACTCCAAGTATTGTTTTCTTCATTATATAATACGCTAAAAATTCAAATCAGCACATGTATATATATATATATATATATATATATATTATAATGGTTTACTAGGCCCCCTGCTTGGACGGCTTAACCCTCTGTACAAGGGGGGCACCCACTTACCACTAGGCTATTGGGGCTCAAAATCAGCATATTTTTGAATTTATGTGATCTCATACTTGTTTATAAAGGATTCTTACATCAGGCTCTATTTGATAATGGTATTTTACAGAGGATAACAGCTCATGATAATTACTTATTTATGCTGATAGCGTGGTTGTGTTGAACATGAATTGCTTTGTGAAGCTTTAATGACTTTGCAGTATTTTAAATATCTGTTATTTCCTAAACATGCCTTTGTACGGAAGCCCTAAGAGATCAAGCTTCTTACATGTTATTCTGTTTGTAAAAACATGTACATTTTTGATTGTTTTCCTGAGATCTAGTTTAGATACGTCTTGCTCACTTGTGGTAAGCCAATTTCTGTAGTTTGATCGAGATCTTGAAAAATGACCTCATTGTGATGTGAAAATGTGAAATAATATATATTAATTTATGTCCTCTTAGGGCTTCCATACATTTGATTTAGATTTTATTTTGCTGCCTTTTGTGAAGACCTTTGTTTTGTTGTATTTTGAGGATTGCACTAGAAGCAAAGGTCATTTTTGTTTCTATTTCACATTTAAATCAGCAATTCAAAATGAAAACCTTGATTTTTATAGCATTACAAAAAGACAAATATTCAGTAAAATACTAACTTGGTCCAAATCCAACGGAGTATGCACTGACGACAGCCATCAAGCAGAAGAGAATGATCCAGTTCACGATGTGATTATGGACGCCGGGCGACGATTCCAGAGACGCGGCCGTTGAATTCTGTCCAAATTGATCAAGTATCTCATCCTTAGTTTGTGTTTTGTTATACAGGAGTCTTTGGTTCTCTGGTTTAAAAGGTGTTTCGGTTACTGACTGGTTAAAAACAGTCAAATGAGGCAGATCCGTGTTGTTAACATTGAAGTTTGTAGAGTTACACGGCGTCTGAGCATCCATCGACGACTGTCCACTGAGGAGGCCGATGGTTATCATGCACAACGCCATCACAGAGCATCCGCTGATGAGCAGAGGCCTCCTGCCCACCCTGTCAGAGAACACCATGGAGGTCAGAGTGGCGACCACTTTGACCAACCCCAACCCCACGGAGGCCAGCAGCGCAGAGGCATCGCTGTGAAACCCGACAGAGTGGAAGATGGTGGAGGCGTAGAAGAGGACGTTGGGTTGGCCGGTGAACTGCTGAAAGAGCACCAGACCGAGACCAATCACAGTCCGAGTCCTCATGTTGTCTTCACGCTGGAAGAAGTACCAGCTGCTGCTCTGAATATCCTTCTTTTCGACTACTGAGTCTTCTGGTGATTCTTGGTTTTCGCCGTCGTCGATGAGGTTTCTTTCCGCTTGCGAGCACTCTCTTTGGCTTAGAGATTTCTTAGTGTTCGATGGTAGAAACGAGACACAAACCAGCTGAATAAAAGTTGGAACTACTGCTAATCCAAACATCCACTTCCACCCTCTTGTCATGTCAGACAGTATGTAGTTCATGGCGTAAGCTGCCAGGATGCCCACGGTGACTCCAGCTTCGTACAGAGTCACCAGGAAGCCCCTGTGATCCGGGGTAACCATCTCGGACACAAAGATGCAGCAGGACATGGAGGATATACACATGGCGAACCCCACCGTGATCCTGCCCACCACCAGTGCAGAATACGAGCTGATGAGCAGGATCAGACTGCCGGTCAGGATCAGGACGTTGCTGAAGATGATGGACTTCCTGCGGCCCTGGTGGTCGATCAGGCAGCCGCCCACTATAGAGGCCAGCAGAGCCCCGACCAGCAAGGAGCTGACCAGAGCCTCCTGCTGGACGCATGACAGTCCGAAGTCGGCCTTGAGCTGCAGCAAAGCGCCTGAGATGATGCCCAACTCGTAACCAAAGACCAGGCCTCCCAAAGTGGACACAGCACTGGCCAACAGGAGGATGGCCCTACCTGAGTGGGGGGGGGGGGGTAACAGAGGTTTTTTTTTTAAAAGAGCGACCAAGCAAAACACTGAATTACATATATTTACATTTCTAAAGAATCTCTTTGGGGAATTAGGAGTTTTCCATTTTCATTAGAACATCTGGATTCAGGATTTGCTGAATCATTGTCCAACCCACCATCATGGTAACTCTCTTTAACGCATGAGGACCCAAACCTGGCCCAGGACCCATGCAGGTCCACTCTTCATAATGGCTATAGTGCAGATTTTGAACTGCCATTATCCATTTCTGGGTTTCTCTCACCTCTTTCACACGCACCAGGTTGGGTCTGTAACATCCCTGACAAAAATGGATCCCCTGTAGGTTTTTTTTGTTTTCAAACATGAACAGGTCCAATGGGATCTGGGAACATCTTTTCATGGTCCATTAGAGTACGGGTTAGTCAAATTGAACCCAAAAAGGACTCTAGATTAAGGCCAGGCAAGACAGACCTTGTGGTGCAATACAACTGTCAGTATGCCCACTACAAAAATAACTTCAGCATTACATGAACAAATCCATTCAACATTCTCGTTTCCTTCTTCTCATTAGCAGAAATCTTGTAGAAGTTGCAGTTTTTCATGCTCAAGTCCACAACATGCTACTTAAAGGTCACATATTATGCATGATACACAAAATACACTTCACCATGTTTTTCGAACACTAACATGTGTCCCTGGCCCATCTACAAACCCCCCAATGATAAGAAAAGTCCATCCTCTCCATCTTTCGCTGCTCCACTTTTCAGAAAATGTGTGCTCAAACAGGCCGTTTGGAGATTTTCCCTTCATGACATCACAAAGGGCAGTAACCCCTCCCCCAGGTGGGTGACACTCCCACAGCTAGGTGTTTGTTCTGCCCTCTGAGTCTGCCTTCTCACCGTAAACAATAGGACATGGAGTGAGAAAGCCCGAGCCACCCAAGCCCTTCCAGAGAGGGGGCGTGGTCAGACACAGCTCATTTACATATTTAAAGGTACAGATACAGAAACAGCCTGTTCTGAGCAGGGCTGAAATAGAGGGGTTTATAGGCATGATCAAATACAGGATCAGAGTGGATTTAGAACAAGAAACTTCACACACATGTTCTGGGGAGCTCTGAGACTAATTTAAACTTTTTCAAAAGGAGGACAATATGTGACCTTTAAGTATTAATGCAAAAGTAGTTACAATCTAATATCTGGAACAAGCCAATCTGGATACTGAGCTTCATAGCTTTATGTGTTAGTACATTTGAGTGACAATATGTCTTGATTAAACTTAGATAAATATATTTATACATTGCAGAAAAAGAGAAAGTAACTCATCTGCCATATAGACTGGACTTTTATGTAAAAGTGTTAACCTCAGATACATATAGTGACTGTAGGAAGCAACCAAACAGACCAATTGTTTTGCTTCAATCAGTTGTCTAAATGTGAAAGTGTTCGGGTGACTAATTTGAAAAGTAGACTCATAAGGGTTAGGAAGACAACAAACAAACCTGATATTCCAGTATGATTATCTTACATGTCTCTGATAGAAAACCTTAAAGTTACACAATACAAACAACCAAATGGTAATAAATGATTTACTGAAGAGAATGAGCGTAATTTAATAGATGAAATGGTCATGTATATATCAATCACAGTGCTTTGTCCTTTAGAAAATCAATTAAACAGATTTAATGCAGTTGTGCGTTTGACACTGCATCAGGTTTTTCCCGTGTATCTTATCTCGCAAAGTGTCGAGAATAAGTTTTGATACCTTTGTCGTTCTATTTGGTTTCCAAATGAATGATACCAATGATATCACTCTGAGTGTTCTGCAGCCGTGCCTCTCATTAACCCGAGTCTTTCATGTTCAGTGACATTGACAGAAATGCAAATGAGGCAAGCTGCGATCCAAATGAAGGCTGCTGCATGTCAGTCCTTACTAAAGAGTAGCTTTACTGACACAGACACAGTCCAGATGAGAACTGATCAATGTTTTCCTTTAACATTTAATTGATTGTTTTTAATAAGTTCATGATAAAAAAAAACCTTGCTTGTCTAAATGTAGTATCAGAAACACTGGCACAAAATGTCACACTAAGCAGCTTTACATATAGATCAAAACCCTATCTGACTTTTATAGCTCAACATACTTTATATTAAAATGCACTTAGACCTGCGTGATCATATTCCTAACATTATTGTTTTACACTTACCCATTGCCTCTCTCCTGCTATGTGCACATTGTAGTCAGGCTCTCCTGGTCTTAATTTGTTTAATGGAAACATCCTCTGGGGAAAAAAAGAAGCACAAGTCTACTAATATTAAAATGTCGATCCAATCTCCAGTTTCTGCAGTACTATCCTGGTCTGGTCCACACGCCAGACCAGCCTGTTGCAGCCCAGTCTCCACGGCAACCGTTTTGTTGATTGCCATGATTTCATTAGGGGGTCCACTTGAGATGGAATCAGCAAAACACACAGCTGTGTAGCAAACAGTTAGTCTTATAGAAACAAACCTTATCGTCTGATAACGACACAGAAGTGAGGAATTTAGAATGTGTGCGTCTCTGACTCGACAACTAGGAGGAGTGTGTGATGACAAAATCAACTTCACAGCTCAGATTAGAAAGATTAAAGGTCTCACAGAAATCCACTGGGAGAGATCCAAGAATTCAACACAGGCCAGTTCTGTGAGTACTCACTGAACTTATTAAGAGTTTCAAACTGAAATCAATATCCCATCGACCCCGTCAACATCCTAATGAAGATTGCAAAATTTTAGCCCTGCTTAGCTCTTTGTCCAGTGAATTTCAACGTACTAGCTCCTATTTATAGACCTAAGCTGTTAACCCACTATAACAGCAACCAGCAAGTCATAAAAACACTTTGTCCAAACATTTTCTTTTTATGCTTCAGGGCCCTAAAGAGCTGTACATTCCACCCCAGAGCCATCACTGAACAAGAACTCCACAGGAACACGTATTGTGTAGATATCAGACTTTAGAAAAAACTTCCCGCACAATCCCAAATGAAACGATACATCTTTAACGACCTTGTCTTTGTAGTAGGCTACTCACCATGTCGAGAATTGAATCTGTCGCCCATCCCTTAAGCCATCATACCTCTGCTGTCAACACTGCTGGAAACTGGAAACTTGTTAAGACATTCCCGTAAGTCTCAGGGCAGACAGGACTTCCTGTTCTGATAGAAAAAATATGGTTACAGTTTGAAACCAGCATGGTGAGAATTCCTTTGAGTGCTCAGATTGATGTGAAACCAAAACGTGTAAGGTTACATGACAGCAGAGCCTGCATGATCTGCTGGTGTCAAATGTCTTGAGACTGTATAGTTGTATTCACTGTTATATTATTTACAGTCTATGGTTGATATGGACTTTAGAACTTAAAAAGTAGGTAAGAGGCCGTAGGTTTTCTGAAGACATTAACACGACTCTTAGTAAAATAGTCATAAATTAACACTGATTTAGGCGGTATTATAAGTTTTTTATTTTCTGGCTCTTTTGTCTCGTTGGTGTTGGAGTCAACGGCCTGCTTCTGCAGACAGGGGCGCTGCTTGTCACCAGGCAAGGCAGGCAACTGCTTGGTTGCCCCAGACCAGTAGGGGGGCCCCAGGGGGCTGACAAACTTTGGACCAAAGCAGCAACCCAAAATGTGCAAATTTTGCAATGACAGTAGGAAACCCTCTCACTGCCCTGCTGGTCGGAGCCGTAGAAGCGCCACTGGATGTGGACCTGCATAACTCCAACTGCTGCAACTGTTAATACTCTTAGCCAGAGCCGGCCCGTGCCCCTTGTGATGCAACCAATTCTACCACCTTCATACAGCTTTGTGTTTTACAGATTGTCTTTATTTAAACCTGAAATGTATTTGTACGGTCAATGTCCCTCACTTCTGATAACTCGTCTGCCCTCCTCCCCCACAATGAGCAGGTAGCGTGCAGCAGTGTTGATATGTGTCAGGTTGAGCAGGGGACTTTTTAAATAAGTGATGTAGTGATGTTTTCTTCACTTCTTTTGTTATATTACTGAATACTAGAATGAAAATTACATTTGATGAACTAACATTTAATGATAGTGAAATACATTTTTCCTTCTTTTTTTAATTATTATCTTCAACTTTTCTTCCTCACTCATTTTGGGTGCCTATTCCTATACTGCCTATGCCATGGGCTGGCCCTGCTATCAGCCTAACATCTATTATCATTATTATGAATGTTAAAGAGGACATATTATCCCCCTTCTTGCCCCCTTCAAACAGTCCCCCTGTGGTCTAAATGAAACATCTGTGCTGTGCTTTGGTCAAAATATAACATGAATCAAGCACCAGAGGAGGTTTGTGACCCTGTATAAACCAGCTCTCTCAGAACACTCCGTTTTGGTGTGTGTGTCTCTTTAAATGCAGAAAAAAAAGCCCCCCCCTGAGTTATCCCCGTAGACATCACTCCTCCGCTAGCGAGAATAAAAATAACAGACCTGCGCAAAAGTTTTGTTCTAGACTAAGGGTGGAGTCCATGGGTGGAGATACCAGGGGAGGGGAGGGGATTTTGTTTTACCAGAATCCCACTGTGACATCACAAGGAGAGCAAATTTGAAACAGAGCATTTGTCTCTGTGTTGTAAGACTTATGCAGACCACAAACAAAGGACTGGATGGGTTTATTTCACATTTTGTGGGTCAGTAGACACTCAGGTTAACCACATATATGTTCAAAACTGTAGAAGTGGATATTTCATAATATGTCCCCTTTAAGATTAATCTAATAGCTGCTTGACCCAGCTGCTATAAGTAACATATAGGTCCTCCCTGTTTCATCATCACTACATTTGCTAATGTTTATATTAGAATGATCTGTCTATTATCATACGTTGATGTTACTATCATTATTACTGACACATAGCCTACATCTGGTTTACTCATTGTTGTTGTTGTTGCTCTGTTTGTCTCTATACTTCTTCTTCGCTCTGCATCTCCCTCTATCTCACTTTCCAAGCCCGACACCGTTTCATCAGATGGCGATCAACATGAGTCAGCTCCTGCTTGAGGTTTCTTCTCGAGGTTAAACGGCAGTGTGTTCTTTCCACTGTGACTTTACTTAACGTTGCATGACTGCTCATGTTTGCTTAATGTTGAGTCTCTTTGAAAATAATAACCTAAAGAGTACAGTCATGCTCTTTAGTGAAGCGTCTTGTGATAACATTTGTTTTCTGCTATACAAATAAAGATTGATAAGACAGAAATAATGAAAGTATAACCGCAGATTAACACGTGTTAAAAAAAATGCTTGAATTGTTCAACAATCCACACATTTTTAGATGAATTTCTGTACACTCTATGCTGCTGTCTCCCTTTTAAATCTATTTAGTTCTAATCATACTTATTTAACATAAGCAATTAAAACAGGCTTTAAAACTGGAAAACAACAACACAAATATGAGTCCAGTTCTCATAACAAAGCGTTTCTATTGTTGGTGTGAGCTGCTTATCCATGGAGAAAACTTGAGATCCTTAAAAAGTAAAAAGAACAATAAAAAAAAATCTAAAGTATAAAAAGTATAAAAACAACTTGTGCAGCACCAGTCACTTTAATCCTTTAATATGGATATCTAAATATTGGTGGGTTAGAATGAATTATTTCAGGGCTGTGGCAGGTCAAGGATTAACTGCATCAGGCTACTACATTGCATCAAATTACATGAGATTAAAGTTTCATAACAAATTATAAACTTGCAGATTAATTGTTATTTGACCAATGAGGTGCAGAATTAAGCTCAGTTATTGTCTTTTAAGTGTTATGGAGTAAACGAAAGTACCATATTTTAAATGGTACTGATACAGGAGTAAGTGTAGTCCTGCTTTATTTACATTCCACCACTAGTTCTGGCTCTCGGTGATTTTCTCCTCAACAGAAAAACAGATGTGTGCTGTTCAGACCCTCTTTAACAGGTCGTGCAGTAAACCAGTAGTTCTACAGACCCGTTATCCATGGGCTCTGTGCGTCCTCTGTCCAGGAATTCAGCTGTTATAAAACATCACATATCGCTTTGTCTCTCACCTTTTGAGCGCAGCAAACTTTAATCTGGCGCCGGATTCTATGTTTTTTAGAAATTAGACATCCGGGGGGAAAGAAATGGTCCTACCGTAAACTGCAGAGAGAGAGAGGCAGAGAGATGCTCCGGGAAACTTCTGTGTCTTCAGGAAGTTTGAGCTCTCAGCGACGTGGCAACAGCGTCAAGTTACAAGAACAGGAACAATGTGGACGAAGTTTGGACGCCAGGGGTCGACAGATGTGTTTTCACAGGAGAGGAAAAAGTCCGACACCACTGAAGTCCAGTTCAGTTTGAACAGTGTGAGTGCTCTGCTCGATTGGAAAGAGGTGCGCGTCACGGTAATGCACGAACACGCGCGCAGGTACACAACGTTGACAACCTTCATTCTGGAGGAATCCCGGAGTGTTCTGGCTGTGTAGTGACTATCTGATGTCCACATTTATTATATTGCCTTTAGTCACTTGCATAGGTGTATGGAAAGTTGTTGACGCATAAGAAATAAACAAATGTCCAAAATTAAAGTACTTTCTGATGTTCCAGTTTATTGTCACATATGAAGCAGACAACCCGTGATGATGATATGATGAGTTGTTATTTCCGAGATTATACTGTTGTCGTTCTTTTCTTATCTTAAATAGCCTACTTGCGTTGTCCTGTGTTAAGATGTGTTACGGTAAGAACCGTGTGTTCCCACCACCTATGCCCCCGTTTCCTCACCTGTGACATAGGCTATATACACTCAACCAACCACCTGACCAATTAACCCAAATGATCAATTATCACCACCTAGTGTCCAAATTGAGTACATAAATAAACATATAAACAAAAGCCGTTGAAATACAATACATAAATACACACACACTAAATTGGCTCCTACAGTCTGTATCTGACTGAAATGACTCTAACGTACGGGACAACTTTGTTTAACTCTAGAATTTCAAAATAACATTTTTATGACTTAAATAAAAAGAAAATGTTTCTATAAATAAAATTGACCACGTGTTGGTTACTGTACTCATGTGTAAATATTATGTAGCCTACTTGCAAGTTGCAGGAAAATATATTTATTCACTGTTAGAAATCTAAACCTCACAAATAAGGAATTGACAGAATCACTTTATTTAACTTTTTTTTAAATTTCTATCCTCCCAATAAGCAGTCCCCTCCTGTTGTTTGTTTTGTTTTCTTGTCTGTTTTTCTGTCATTTAATATTTTTGTTTTTCTCATTAGCCATAGATGTGCTCCGGCCAGAAGTGCTCAACAAATAAATATAAGAATCCTCGATTTTGCTTTGGGATAGTACTTCCAAAAGTACAATCATTTGGGGGGTGGGACTTTATGTGCAAACTCATTTCTGTTAATTTGAGAATTAAAATTCAGCTTGGGGAAACAGTAGATGCAAAGTTTTGCCCAAATTTTCATGTTCTTTCCCATGTTTAAACGTTTTTCCTATTTTTAATACTCTAGTAGGGGTGATGTTTATCAAAGTTAACATAGCCTATCTGTACATGTATGTAAATGTTTAAATGTCCATGTTTTTGTAAATGAATATGGATCAAATGAAGTTTCTAAAAATAAAAACTTTCAAGTTGCAGGCAGAGGTGATGCCAGGATTTCTGTCTCTATGAAAAGATATTTCACTGGGCCCCTCCACCACAGCCAACCATGAGATATTTATATCCACAAAGCGTACATACACAAATAACAAGCTTTGAATCAAGGCTGTCAAAATGTTCCTCCTTCATACCTTCTGCTCCCACACATTTTCAAAGTATACAATCCCTTTCCACCGTGTCAAACTTCAACTTGTCTGACTTAGAACAAACAACTTCAAAGAAAGGTGCGTCAGAGAAGAATGAGTTCATCAAAACAAGCAGACTAATTCCTGCACACTGTCCAAAATGCACAAATTTGTTGGCAACGTATTTATGAAATTCAGACTATGCGAGAGTTTACCGCAATTTTGGTAGTTAAAAACAAGAGGTGAACCACATTTTGATGTCTAGGACTTATTTTGTGTTGCCATGCTTTGAAACAGGAATGGATCAATATGGTTTGGTGTTTTGAGAGCCAAATCGAAGTTTAAAAATCTGGCATTGGAACTAACATTATTGCATTTTTAATGAAACAATAAAAATGAATACAACGATTTTAATAAATGCATCTTTTTGTTATCTGAATCGTTTTCAAGCATCTTCAAGGTTTGAAAACACTTTAATTGATTTTAAAGTGTTAAGAATGATTGTGATGATGTTTCAAATGAGCCAACAAATCATATTAAAGAGAAAAGATGATGTTGCCAGCAGGGGATAAGTGTAGAAAATGTATGCATTAACCCGTTATTCATTGTTAATCTATGAGATATAATTTAGGCTATCATTATTATTTATCAATTGGAGGTATAGGTAATAACACTCCTTAATTTAAAGTAAAAGAAACGAGAATCATTTATTTTTATATGGCCATATGTCTATCTGTTCACTCAGTACACTCAGTTTACTGCACATTTCAAGTTTACTTTTTCTTTAAATTTTATTTTTTACCATTTTGTTTATTACACTATTTGGAGTTTATTACTGTAAATATTATTTATCTTATTTTACCTTATTTTATTTTATCTTATTTTACCTTATTTTATTTTATTTATTTTACCTTATTTTATTTTATCTTATTTTATTTTATTATCTTATTTTGGTTGTATTGCACAAACAAACGCAATTTCGATTCCACTGTATGTCTGGCATATTTTCAAATTGACAATAAAGTTGACTTTGACTTGACTTGTCTGTGCTGTCTATGTGCACTACTCGTGTCGGCCGCGAGGTGGCAGCCTTCATAAACAGAGCACAGGAAGCACTCAGACAGACACGGAGAAGAAGGCGGAAGTAAACATGGCTCAGGAGAGAAGCATGGCGGTGGCAGAGTTTCTGAGCAAAGCAGAGTTGATAAAACAAGGCGCAGAAGCGAGGGTGTACCGGACAGAGTTTCTGGGAAAGCCCACCATCGTGAAGGAAAGGTTCCCGAAACGGTACCGACACCCGGCGCTGGACGAGAAGCTGACCCACCGGAGGACGGTGCAGGAGGTCCGCTCCATCCTGCGCTGCCGTAAAGCAGGCGAGTGATTATCATCTTATTATGGACTGTTTTTATTTTTATAACTGAGTTTCTTCACGCAGGAATTATTCTTTCTGTACAGTAAATTGAATATCTCTCTGTAATAACATTTTCCTGTTTCTTAAAATTAAATAAATTGTAAATGTTACGTGTCAATAAAGTTTTTTTTTTAAAGTACAACAACAGACAGACGCCTCTTTGTTTATCACCCACAGCTGGATTCATTTTGACTGACTAACATGTCAGATGTGTTCGTGATTGATTCAGTAATCATTTGTTGTTTTCTTGTTTGGCCTCAAGAAGATAAAAAAGTTGCGAAATCACCAAATTCATCATTTCAATTCAAAAAACTTTATTTGTCCCCTGGCACACACACAGCAGTAAAATAACAACAGTGCAGGTAAATATAAAGTGTCAGTTTAAATACAACTTAAAGCTTAAACTTAAATTAAAATGCAAAATATAAAAAGAGTAGATATAAGTGGACAGTGATCGGACTAACAGATGTAAACAGAACTAAACGAGAAATAAATATATATATATCAGAGCTATGTGCAAGTAGTTAAATACTAAATGATAAGTTATAAGGTGAATAATGGAACAACAGAACTGATATATACAATATAATTATAAAGGTAAATATGAGATGAATAAAGTGACCGTAGTGCAATGATGGATAAGAAACAACAGGAATAAAGTAAGAACTGTATGAATACTGATATAAAATATATAGAATAAATAAATAAACCACATTAATCCTCAACTGTCTAAATAAAATACACAGAGTACTCCTGGATGCTTTAAAACTACTGTTTCAATTAATGAGTTAGTGAGTTAAATTAATAAAGGGAAAGCTACGAGCAGAGAAGTTAAAATACATCAAGAGAGATGAACGTGTTAATGTGTCGGCTCGTAGTTTCAAATGTTCCTCGTGTGACCCACACGGCACCGGGCAGAGAGCTTTCTGCTTTTATGCCCCTAAAATGTGGAACTCACTACCTCAGGGTGTTAAAGTAAACTGAAGACTTGTCCTTTAAAACTGGACTCTTACTTGGAGAGATTTAAAAAGGTTATTTCTGTTTTTATTCATTTTTTTTATTTCCTGTCTGTCAGTCCTTTGTGAAGCACGTTGGGGCTGTATGTTTTTATGTATGATGTAAAAATAAAGACGAGGTGAGAAAAGTGTTTGTTTTAATGGATGAGCTTTAGGATGAGGGGTTTGTAGCTTTTGAGTTTCAATTAAAAAAAAAAAGAAGCAGAATAAGTGACTTGTTTCTGTTTCTGCTGTGTGCTAGACTCTTCACTTGAATGTCCATTATGAACATTACATTTTTTGCACGCCCTATCAAGATGTTAATATTTTTTCTTAATTTATTTTACATCGTATGTTTCTGTCCATTAAAAAAAATACAGATGAATCAGATTCTCATCCTGGATTACTTCCAGTACGAGCCTCCAGTGTGTGACGTTTGTCTTCCTCTTTCCCCCCTCAGGTATTTCCACCCCTGTCGTCTATTTTGTGGACTACACCTCCCACTGTATTTCCTGGAAGAAATTGTAGGATCCGTTACGGTCCGTGACCACATTGTATCCGCTCAGCAGTCGGGTTCCCGTACAGAGTCCGAGCTGGAGCAGCTGGCGGACAGGGTGGGCAAAATCCTGGGCAGAATGCACGACGAGGACGTCATCCACGGCGACCTGACCACCTCTAACATGCTGCTGAAACGTGGCCCTGAGGACGGGGAGGACGAGTTAGTGCTCATTGATTTCGGCCTGAGTTACAACTCTGCTCTGCCGGAGGATAAAGGAGTGGACTTGTATGTGCTGGAGAAGGCTTTTCTCAGTACCCACCCCAACACAGAGTCGCTGTTCGAGAAGCTGCTGAAGAGCTACGCTGCGTCGTCCAAGAAGTCGGCGGCGGTCGTGAAAAAGCTGGACGAGGTTCGGTTGAGAGGGAGGAAGAGGTCGATGGTGGGATGATGAACTTTCTGTGCGCAGGGACGAACATCTCTGTAAATAATGTTTCGAAACACGTTTGATTTACAAAGCTGTTCATGTGCAAAAATAAATCTGTATATAAAGTCACATCCCCGATTAAAACAAACGTTTACTACATATAAGAGATGAATTTGTGATGATGTTGCATTTTGGAGCAGTTCATGTTGAGTCTATTCATCAGTAGGACACATCTAAACCTGCTCTCTTCCATTACTGCAGATGTTGTGGTAGCATTTTACTAAACCACATGGATCCAGGCTTTACAGTAAACATGCAGTTATTTCTTTAAAGGGAAAAAGATGCCCTGATGTGAAGAGGTCAAATCAGGCTGAATGAAAAATCTTAACCTGATATAATCACTTCCTGTGTTAAAGTAGCTACTACAGTTTAGTTAGCCTGCAATATTGATGAATATGATAATGCAAACTTATATATATATATATATATACCTATGAAAAAAATATTGTCGGGCATGAAGAATGTAGTTTGATTACCAAGGAATTTAGGCCTGTTTCTATGACAACAGTCTGTTGACAACGGCCGCTGTATGACCGACACTGCTCCGTTACTTTTTACGATATGTTTTATATTTGAAATCTTTTTTTTTTTTTACCCGATCAGACACGGAGCGAAGAGGATGTGGGTTCAAGACACGATCCGTAGGCGGCAAAAAAAACAAACATTTTTTTTCATTCATTTGTAAAAGAGCGCCCGTGACGCTTTTTCTCCAGGCGGCCGCTCTCTGCTGGGAACTCTCTCTTCTTATTGAAAACAACTGAAAAAAGACGCTGGAGCTCAGAAAAAACACTAGCTGGACTCAGGTCCTTAAAGGAAACTATAAATCAAACATTTTAAATGAATTGCAGAGACAGGAGAGTTTGAAAGCAGGGCAGAAGGAGCCACAGGTCGGGATTTGAACCCAGGCCGTCTGCTTTAAAGGTCACATATTATGCAAAACAAGAAACTTCACACACATGTTTTAGGGAGCTCTAAGACTTATTCAAACTTGTAGAAAAGGAGGAGAAAATGTGACCTTTAAGAACTACAACCTCTGAATATGTGGTGTGCAAATTAACTACTAGACCACTGGCCCCTGGCTGCCCATTTTAGGACTTCAGGATAAACATGGTGTTGGAGGGGATAGACACCATTAAGAGGTTTAATGAAAAGAACTGCAGACCAGATCTATGACAGGTTATTAATATATTTAAGATGCTTTCTAACGAGTAGTGTAAGCAGTGAGAAGGTCATTCATGAAAGATTGAGCCTTTGATTCTCAGCAGCCACAGAAGAAACTGCATATCTCCAGTGACATTCACAGTATTTAACAACTGCAACAAATGGAAATTATTAACCACATTGGTGTTATAGAAGGGTTAATTTTATGACTTCGACATACACATTTATTTAGTGTAAATAGGACTAAATCCCTCCTTCTGTAGTGAGTCATACTGCACATTCCTTTCTACAAGGTGGTGTGAAGGAGGTTGTATCCACAGGTCAAAGTCCAGGAGGAGGTGCAACAAAAGAACACAGCAATGAACCGACAAGCCCGAAACTAAACCTGTTCAGTGATTCAACCCCCATGTGATCTCCAGTCTAAGGAATCAGTTTTAACTTCAACTTAACCGAGACGAGTGCGTCCAAGTTTCCTTTCACTTTTTTTAAACATGTACTGAAAATGGAGTTCTTACAGAATCAGGAAACCATGATGAAAGTCGCGCTCATTGTTTTGTTCGTGCAAGGTAAGTGTCCTGCATTCATTCTCGTCAAAGTTTCAAAGGTGTGCAGGTGTTCAAAGGCACTTCAGAAATTCCTCCTGTGCTTGCAGGTTCTTCAGCCGACACCCCGAGGGAGCTCAGCGTGTTGACGGGGACAGATGTGACTCTCGGCTGCGTCTTTGATAAACTGTCCAAGCAGGTGGAGTGGAGCGCTCTGACCGTTGAGTGGATCACGGTGGATAAACGTGGAGGGAAGAGCATTGTGTACACTTTTGAAGATGGTAAAGCGCACTTGAACAGAGCCGGCTCTGTGGTGGATAAAACGCGGTTACTGCAAAGCGACGCATCCCTGAAGCTTTGCAATGTGACTGTGGGGGATGAAGGACTCTACACATGCAGAATCATCACACCTGTCGTCTACACGGAGACCGTTTCTGTGGAAGTGCTCGGTAAACGTCTCTCTGTTTCTCTGCTTATCTGTGTCAAATACTCTGGATTGAGTTTTAGTATCTACCAGAAGATGAACCAATTGGGAAAATCGATGCCGATACCGATGTTTGTTTCATGACTTCTTCTGGTGTAAGACTCCCACAAAGTAAGATGTATGAGATACCAGCATTAAATCCATTTGGCACAACAAATAAACATCAGTACATGCCACATTATCTGCAGATGTGCCGATGTCTGACAACAAGGCCGATATGGGCTGATGCATTTGTGCACCCCTAGTATGTATTCAATATTTGCTACGGATCCAGAAAAAAACATCAGAAGTTGAGCAAGAATAAGTGTTTTATTTGCTTCTTTCGACTGAGCGATCCCTTCGATGATTCTTCTCTCTCCACTAACACAAAGACATTTTTCAACTCAGCACAGCAGAACAGGCGTTGAAAAATGATCAATTTAAACATAGAAAGAGACAGAAAAGTCAGCACACAAATGTCCTTTAGGTTTCCTTTATGTCAGGTGCTGGATAAAGGAAACCTAAAGGACATATATGTGTTGAATTTTCTGTCTCTTTCTACATTTGTTGCGGTCGTGCACCTTTTACTGTGTTTACTGTCCAGTGTGCTCCTTTTTTGTTGTTTTTGCACAAATTTAAACATATCAGTTATCTCTGTATGAAATTGTTACGGCTAGAACATCAGAGAAAAAGTTGAGTTTCTGTCCACCCTGTGAATATCTCAACCTGTCTGGGAATTTGAGAGAATATCAGAATGTCTGACTGACAAATAAATGGTTTCAGTGTGTCCAACAAATGTAGTTGTTAACTGCTGTATCGGCACTGACTGGGCTGAAAGAAGAAGATAGCAGCATTTCTACAAAACTTTTTTACGACTGGAAATGTATGACTGAGATTTAGGTGAATTATGAATGGATTCCAGGTTTTATTAAAGGCTGATATATTGTTATTTTTGCAGGCTGCAATTCTTTCTAATACAATGTGTTCTGTGAGTAGGTTGGTCCAGTGGGTTATGTGGCAGTATCTTTTTGATTTCCAGTTCTGATAGATGGTCTTCTTGGCGATAGTTAGAGAAACGAGTAGCGGGTTTTTGTAGTTATTTGGGATGGTGATTTGTGATGTGTCTCCAAGTAAGCAAAGTAATGGGGAGGGGAGGATTCTGCAGCATGATGTTGAATTTTTGTAATTACACCCCCAAACCAAAAATGAATGTACTGTTTTTTCATCTCTCCCCTAGCTCAGCCCTCAGTGTTGCTTCCAGAGACGGCGGCGTTGACGGAGGGGCAGGAGAAGACGATACAGTGTAACATCACAGGATACTATCCAGACCAACTGGACGTGACGTGGCACATCCAAAACGGCTCCACCACCTTCCTTGCAGGTTTAAACCCACTCTTCAGAGTCTGCACCAATATGGCCGCTCACAACCCAGATGGCACTTACAGCATTCGCAGCGGCGTCACTCTGCACTCGTCGGCAGTGAAGGGCAGAGACCTACGCCTCATCTGCAGGGTGGAGCACCAGACCTTCAGTCAGCCGTACAACAGATCCATAACACTGAAAGTTCAAGGTATCATCAGTATCTGTTATAATGTGAAGTTATGAATGTGAAAGAGAACTTCAGCACGAGGATTCAGACATCCTCATAAAACAGAAAATATTTATTCAGTCACTCATGAAGTGTCATCCATTCTGAATTATATGTTCTTTTATATTATTGATGTTACACAGGTTGTTTTTCTTACAGCTCCATCACTCCCCTCTTCCATTGTCGGTGTTCTGATTGGCCTCGGGAGTCTGTTGATTTTTGGGATGATCGTCTCTCTTATTGGAAGTTTTTTGGTGATCATCAGGCATCTCTCTAAAGGTACATCTCAATCTGAATACAACACATTTTTCATTTAAAGGGATTTTTTAAATTTCCCCCTCAAACTAAATCTTTGTTGTCGTTGTTGCGGAGGCTGTGGTCCTACAGGCAGGCGGCCCATGTTCAAGTCCGACCTGTGGCTCCTTTCCCGTTTATCATTCCCCAATTTCTTTCTCTCCCATTTTTTTTTTTTTAATTCATTTTTTTAAGATTTATTTTCGGGCTTTTTTTATGCCTTCATAGTAGAGACAGGACAGTGGATAGAGTCGTAAATTAAGGAGCGAGGGAGTGGAGAATGACACGCGGGAAAGAAGCCAGATGTCAGATTTGAACCTGTTACTTAAAGATGAAATGATTATAGTGGAAATAAATTATTCCACATGCTCATCTCCATCACCTGTTGGAGATTTCTGACGGCTTAAAGTGCAGAAAGCTTTCGTTGAGCCAGCAATGACCAGCTCAACCTACATCTTTTTTTGCTTCCCATTGCTTGTTGTAGCTGCAATGTCTTTTCTATTTTGCAAGTTTATCCTTATATTTATCTATACAGAGGTGCTGCTTGTCAACAGGAAAGGCAGGCAACTTCTTGGAGCCCCAGACCAGTAGGGGGCCCCAAAGCAGCGGTCGAAACCTCCTTAAAGGGGTCCATCTGACAGCACTCACTCTCCTTGCTCTGTTGAACTCTGGTTGGAGGACCCCCCCCCCCCCCCCAATTTTTGCCTAGGCCCCCAACAGACTCTGGAATAGACACTGTCTACACGTTAAAAGTCACCCTGAACAACACCATCCATGAAGGGAATTTATTTCAGCAGGTTTTTGGACCTTTTGGGGCTGAAGGTTAATTTGTATCTAAGATCAGTAAAGTGTCATCTGTTGAGTAAAGAGAAGTAACGTCAACATACAGGACAGTGGGATGCTCCGGCTAATATGGGATGGTTGGCAACCTTAAAGTAAAGACCCCTTCATTGCCTGAAAAACAGCATGAGACTTCAGGGCTGTTTGCCCACCCAGAAATCTCCCAGGAATGAAAAGAGAGATTGCAGACTGGACTCAAAATGTCAGAGAAACTTT